AACTGCTCCAAGTAATTCTTTTATTAGTTCTTCTAATATTTCAATTAAAATAATGTTGATTACTGTTTGTTGAAATAACCAGTATATTGAGTTCCTAAATTCATGGATATTAGTGAAATCAGCAATATGTCATTGTGAGAAAGGCCAAGAAACCAGAAACATCTCTGTAGCGAGTAAAGAAAAACTCTGTGGCAAGTTGAGCAATGAAACAGATATCTTTCATATCATGTTTCTGTGTGCTTGTTTTTGTAGTTACAAGGGTCTAAAGGCAAAGACAAGACAAACTTTATACATAAAGATAAAGGATTTTATTAGTACAACTATCTCACCTTAAAAAAATCCCATCACTATATCACAGGTACTCAAAAACTCTACTTTTTCAGACTGTAGTAGTGTATTTCATAAAAGATGCTACTTTTACCTATAGAGACCATTTTTGTCTGAATTTCAGACATCAAGAATCATTTCAATTTTGAAAATGTTACGGAAGACAAAATTTTCTACCAAGGGCTATGGTATAAAGATGGGATTGAAATAGTAAATGGAGAAGGAAAATTAATGGGCTAAATGTGATGTATCCTTACATGACAGCATTTTGTAAACCATACAGCCTTAAAATGTTCTGTAACTCAAAATGATATAGCTTAATATTTTATCTGTTGTTGTTTTGTTTGCTGTACACAGAATCACCAGAATATATGTCAACTGAATATGAAATTTTCAAGGAATGATGCCTATAGTGGCTATATTTCCATGGTGAAGCTTTTTGCATAGAGCTAATGAAGTGCTTGGGGTCCTAGGGAATTAAAGGTGCTATATAAATGTAAGAAATTATCATTAAAAAGTTCTTCCCTCCAGGCATTTGGGATTTTGCTGTGTGGTACAAGGAGGCATTTGCAGTCTTCTTTCATTCCAAATGCTTCAGCTTAAACATTTTCCAACTCTCCCTCTGCAGCTTCAGCTACAAAAACGTTTATATGAAGAAACAGTTTCTAAATTGGTTCCAGTTAATCATACTTTGCTGCTAACTTGAAAGAACCTGCCTTGGTTTAAGCTTTTTATAGCCGTGTTGAAGATCAGGAGGAAGTAGGAGCATCATTCTCTCAAGAGATTTTCAAATGCTGTTTTAACCATTATTAGGCCTTGTCTGCATTGGTGGAGAAACAATACAGGCCACAGCCAGAATTCCTGCAAACAGAAAGCCAGCTGTGCAGTATCTGGCTTGATTTTCAAGGATCCTGTTGTGTGGTTCTTTACTGGCCATGTGTTCTTTCACTGACATTAGAATGCTTCACTGGTCCTAAAGTTTCTATTTCGTGCAGAAATGCAATCCCAATTTTGTGTCATTTTGTGTCTATTTCCCAAGTCTTCTTAATCCATCAGGCAACCTTTAAGATCATCTATTACTTTTCACATACTACAAATCGCAGCAGAAGTGGCATTAGAAATCAAAAAAGACTTCTGACATCACTGGACATAATCTTTTACCACACTGCCATTTTAATGAAATATTGCATTTATGTTCTTATTCATTCACACCAAATGTGGATTTTTTGATCCACAGATTTATGTGAATCATAAGCATTTTTAAGAATCCACTAGTGCTAATGGAATTGGGCCTCTTAGTTCAAGTGTTGAGAGATTAAAAAATTGCTAGATATCTTTAAACTATTAATAAGTTGTGGGATTTGGTAGCATTAGAACTGAAGTTCAGGTTTTGTTATGCTAAGCATTTTACTTGTTCACAAATAGATGTGAAACGTAATAAAACATTGCATCTTCTATAAGTCAATACTTTCATGTAATTTGGTGATTCCCCTCAGTTATTGAAGAATTGAAGCAAGAATTGCTGTTCCTTAAATCTTACCTTCTATGGGACAAAATATATTTAAATACATGTGATGACCTTAAAATGATTGCATGCAATAAAATATATGATTTTCAGCAAGAAGCATAAAGGTAGTATTAATATTTGCTTTTTCACATATTTATTGTTTGTATTTTGGTTAGTGTGGAGCACATGTGATGTAAGAATCTTAGAAGGAATCTGTGGATTGCACAAGATGATAATGTTTCTTTTGTTTAAGAGCAGTGGAAAAACTGTCCTTACAAGCTCCAGAATAATTAGAACTGGATTTTATAAATGTATATTTTCAGAAAACAAGCTTAATTCTCAGAAGAATAATATTAGCACTCATTAGGGGACTGAATGCTTTGGGGTACTGTTAATGAAATTCATAGCCTTTTGCCTGTGGGCTATCAGTTTGAATTCAGTCTAACTCAGTGGAGATTGAAAATTGGCCTATTTAATGGTCTTTTAGTCATCTCTAATGAGCTGAGTTTGGTGGGTCTCAGTCCAGCAACATAAACCACTCACACTGCCTTCTCCTAACTGGCAAGCTCCAGAGAAACCCCTGAATTTAATGGATTTTGGGGAAAATTAGCCTCTGGTACCATGGAGAAAAAAAGCAAAGAAAAGCAAAAGCTGTGATAGATGATGGTTACATGAGCACTAACACACACACTATTTTTAAATGTGGAATTTATAGTGATATATAAAGTTTATAAATTAGCAAATTAGCTGAGCATGTGACATATGCTGCCACACAACTATACTGATTGTAACATGACAAAGACTCCCAAAGGGGATATCTACACCTGTGCATAAGATCATGACAACACATTAAATGTTTAAATGCCTCTGGGATTCACTTCTGTCAGAAAAAAATAGGATCAGAACAGATATCTAGGTATCAGGATAGTAACTGCAGCTACAGAAAATTATGCTGAAAACAATTATAACCTAGTGTGCCTCCATTACTTCACAGCAGTCAAATTCTTCTATATTTTCCTTATAGATATTTAACTTAATATTAAAACCCATACTAATACCATTTCCAGGATCCTGTAGAGAATGTATGTCAGTTTTACTTATCCATATCGCAACAGAACTGTTCCTGATGTCTAACTGAAATTTCTCAGTACAGTTTAAAGCCGTTACATTTAGCCTTGTCTGCAGTGGACTCGGTGAACGATGGATTTTTCTCCCCATGGTTTTTATTCTCTAGGCTTAAAAATCCCACACATTCCTATTTTCAGTTAGGGTCACATCTTTTAAAATGGTGACTTTTTTCCGCTCCCTTCCTTGTACTGTCTTCTACTGGAAGTTTTTGAAAGAAATTTTTCTTGAAATGCAGAGGCCAAATCTGAACACACAGATGAGGCTTCACCAGTATTAAAGATGAGGAATTCTTCCTATGTCCTAGATATGACAGTTCTGTTTACGCATCTCTCTGTATTGCAGCTTTTTTCACAACGGTGTGACATTGTTGATGCGTGTTCAGTTTCTGATTTACTCTGATCCCCAGCCCCTTTTCTGTAAACCTGGTGTTTATTCATCTGTTCCCAGTCTTGCGATTGTGCAATTGTTATTTTCCTGCTTAAATGTTGAAGTTGGCACTTGTATTTATTCAATTGCATCATATTTCTGCAACTATTTTTTCAGGAAGGTTTTGAATTCGTTTCTTGTGCTGTAACATGCTTCCAGCAATGCCAGTTTGGCATTGTTGGCAAATCCAATCCATGTAAACTGTACTCTGCCACATACATAATTAGACTTCGGACCACAGTCATGACATACCCACCTCCAGGGAACTGTATTTGCTGTCCTGCTATTTGTCACAATGAAATGTTGCTGATGTAATTTTGCACCACCGCAGTAATTTCATTATGTTATGTCTTTTGCTTGCTCAATTAAGACTTCTCTGAGATGGTGTCAAAAACCTGATTTAAGTCATAACCGACCAAGCACTACTCACATCCAAGGCCTGTTATTCTGTCATAGCTTGGAATGAGTTTGGCTCGATGTGATTTTTTTTGACAAATCTGTGTTGGCTGTAACTTATCCCTTCATTAGCGATCATGTACTAAAGATGTGTGATTATTTGCTTCAGTACTTTTCTGGGAATAGAGGCTGGAATGATTGACAGTGCTTGGCTCTACCTATTCCCCCTTTTGAATTACATGTGCAGTGTTTTTCCTCTTCCTCTCTCCTGACATCTGCCGTGTCCCTGAGCACTCTGACCACCGCTCACACCTCTAACGTTGCCTTTATCAGCTTCTCACTCGAGTGTGAAATCCCCCGGGCCCGGCAAGTCTGAAGGGAAAAAATTAACTCATCTAAGCAGTCTCTACGCACTTAGCACTCTCCGCTGACTCCGGGAGAATTCCCTCTGTGCGCCGGGGTTCTCTTCAGCAGCATTAGTCTGAGGAGAGAATGGTACCGAACGTGTCTTTTTGTCACCTGCCGCCTTCCCGCCCCCCGGGCAGTGCCGCTGCGCTCAGGTTCCCCGCGCCCCCGGCACCGTCCGCAGCAGCCTGGGCCTGGGCCTGGGCCTGGACCTCAGCCTAACTCTGCCCCCCCGCTGCCTCGGGAACGCCCCGGCGCACATTCTGCCGCACCTGACCCGCTTTCCCAGGCCTGTGGGAAGGGCAGCCCGCAGGGCGGGCGGCGCTCTGCGCCCGGCGCGTTTGGGGAGCCGCCCGGGGGGGGACATTCCCTCCGGGCCTGGTGACCATTCCCTGCGAGCGGGCGGGGCCGCGCCCGGGACCGGGCAAGGCGCGCGCCTGCCGCGGCGGGGAGGGGGCGCGCGCTCCCTGCGGGGGCAGGGAGGGGATGCCCTGCGCGTGCGCCCTTCGCCCACCGCGGGGCGCGTGCGCGCTTGTGTGCGTGTGCGTGCAGCCGCGCGCGGAGCGGCGGGGCGGTCAGGAGGCTTGCGCGATGACGTCACGACGGCGCGCGCAGGACGTAACCCCGGCGTGACGCACAGCCCGGCGAGCCCGTGAGTTTCCCGTTACGATTTAGTTTTTTGTATCGCGCCCCCGCCGCCCCCGCCCGGCCGCGGAGTGAAGGGGGAGGGCGGGAGGCGCAGGGCCCCGCGGGCCGGGAGGTGGGAGCCGGGGCCGAGCGGAGCCCACCCCACCCGATCCGATCCGGGCCGGGCCGAGCCGGCCGCTTTCCCTAGCGGCGGGTGGCGGAGCGGGCGGCTCTGCCCCATCCTGCCGCATCGGGAACATGGCGGCCGCCTCCGACCTGGTGCGGCACCGCGGCTCGGCCGCAGCCGCCCGCGCCGCGGTAAGTGGCCGGGGCGGCGACGGCGTGGCGCAGGCCGAGCGGCCGCGGCAGGCGCTGCCCTCCCCGGCCCTTCCTTCTCCAGCCCGCCTTGTCGCCTCTCTCCGTCCCTTCAAGCGCCCCTCGCCACCTCCCCAGGCCGACGAGCGGCGTTCCCGGTGCCCCGGCCGGGCGGGACACAAAGGGCTGTGTCGAGGAGGGTTTTGTTCGGTCACATGAAGCGGCGCAGCCAGTGAGCGCGGAGCGGGGAGGGGGAGCGGGGCCGCCGCCATTGCCAGGCGCGGAGGAGCTGGGCAGCCCGGGGCCGCCGCTCGGGGCCTGGGGCCGGGCCGGCGGCAGTGGGAGCCAGGTAATGCCCCGCGGGCGGGGGGGCCGGGCGGGGCAGTGCCGTCGCTCGAGGGTGGCCGGGAGCACCCTGGGGGCCCCGCAGGCGCCCGTGCCCTGCCGCCGCCCGCCCGGCGGGTCCCGCAAGGCCGCCTGTGCTCCGCCGCGCCTCTGCCTGTGCGGGTCCCGCCCGCGCTGCCCCCTTTGCTGGCGGCCAGCCCGGGAAAGGTTGTGCTGCCGTCCTGGGACAGGGGTAGCGTGCGCTCCTCACCCTCCCCTTCGCTCCCTTCTCGGCGTGAAGCGGGCAGGCTCTGAAACGCCTGGTGTCGGTACCTGTGGCTGGCGAGTCCCCGGGCCGCCGCGGCGCTGGCCGGCGTGCCCTCCGGGAGCGGTGGTAGAGCTCCCGGCGCAGAGGTGGTTCACGACAGCGAGGGAAAAGTTACCAGTTCAGGTACCAAAGTCGTGTGTTCGGGCTCCCAACAGCTTCAGGATCTGGTGGTTACTCTGACAAAGTTTGTGTTACCAGCTTGCAGTGATGAGCATCATCTTGACCAATGGAACGTGTGTGAAATGTACAAAGTTTTTTTTCTTCTCATGGTTTGTGTGTAACCTTCAGCCTATTGGCAGTACCTCTGTCGTGGTAGTGTGGTCTGTAAACTGACAAATCAGTTTGTAATAGAACACAGGTATGATCTATCAAAACAGCTTTCCATCAGTGCTGTACAGCTCTAGCCCTTTAAGCAAAACCTCATTTGCAGTGGTATTCCGATTCCTGCCTCCCTTTTCAGTGCATAATGTAATTATGAAGATTGTGTCATGGAAGTTTTCTTTCAAATGCATCTGAAGAATGAATGTGCACCAGATTTTAGAGTGAGAAGTCATTTCGTGTTGTATAGAATAGTGAATTAACACATTAACTAATTTACAGGGTTTTTAGTACAAGTTTCAGCATAATTTTTGATTCAAGTAATAAAACAGATTTTAAAGAGAAGATTCTTCACAGTGGAGGGCGAAGTGCTTCAGTGTTTTGGTAACTTAATGTGATTGTTGTAGAATTCTTTACTACCTGACTTGTGCAAGGTTGGTGATTTGAGGACAGAATAAATGGACTGATTAGACAATGCAGGATAAATCTGGGGAGGCTTTTAGTGGGTCACTTAGGTGCAGAGAAAATGCAGCAATTTTCTTATTGGAGGGGAGTTTAAGCAGGGTGCATCAAAAAGCAGTGCAGTGTGACAATCCTGTTAAACTGACTTAGAGTCAGAGCTGATGTTGCAAACCTGTATAATGTTACTGCAGAGTTATACAAGAAATACAGTGAGAATTGAAATTAATATTCTTCAGAGTGTCTTCTCAGGATAGTTTCTTCTCATGTCTAGTATTCATTCCTACAGATTTCATTTTACTAAAAAGACCTACTCAAGGAAAAGGAGTTTTGTAGAGGAAAACACTCAGAATGTCACCAAAGAGACTTGACTTGTCATTTTATACATTTTTTCCTTTTCTTCAGTCTGCATGACTTTTTTTTTTTTTTTTTTTTTTCTTAATTAAAAAAAAATCCCTGGTCAAATATCACTGTTAAAAATAAATAACAACCCAAAACCAACCAAACAACCAAGAGTGTACTACACTGATCTTTTTTAAAGTTGTGTGAAGTCCAGTGTCTGATTTATGTTTAGTAGCACTAGGGGAATATGCCTAGGAAAGTATGAAAGTTCTTAATGCAAAAAGGGAGTTGAACTCTCAACAGGTGACCTGGCTAACAGGAGGAAAAGGCACTGACCACTTGTATTAAATAACCTCACTTTGTGAGGTTGTTTAATACAGAAAAGTTGACTGAAATAGGAGCATCAGTAGCTGAATGAACAGCATATTAAACAAGAATGGCAGTGCCTTTGACTTACCTGAATTTCATATGGGCACTGAAGTCAAAGTTTGTTAGTGGAGTTTCTTGACCAATAGTTTGTGCTTAAGCTTGCAAGCATTAGCATGGCCTATTAGTGGGTATACTTTTTTAGTTCAAGCCTTTTCAAGTCATTCATGGAGAAAATTCAACTGAAAAATGAATAAAATTCTCAATAGTAATAAAGCACACACAAGTTCACACACAGTTATTGGTTTCAAACCCTTTCAGGTTTTTAAAAGCTCTGAGAACTTAAAATTGGGGAAAATATAGAATAGTTGTGTCACTTGCTCTGCAGCTTCACCTGAAGTTGGTTTGAATTAAAGGTTTTTGAACAGATGCTGATTCCTTGTCCTCATATTTTTATATTTTCAAGCAACTTTTTATCTTTAGCAAAGTTCAAGTGATGTGGCTATTAGAGCTCTGCCTTAAGATGCTTGTTTTATGCTCTTTGTTCTTTTAGTACTAAATGCATTGCTCCAATGTTAGTTACTACAAGCCACATTCAATTAGTTTCCTTTGTGCTCTGGATTGCAGAACATTTTGTATTATGTATCCAGAGATTGGAAAAATGACAGTAAAATTAAACAATGTTGCACTCATTTAAATTGATTTTGAGACTGAATAAACTTGGCATAACCTCCAAGACCGGATTTGTTCAGATGAAAATAATGTCCACCCTGCTTCAGAGTGTAAAGGAATCCCTGGTGAAATAAACCAAAACCAGATTGTCTTCTCTGAAAATATATGCATTGATATTCTTGAATGTCACTCTGATTTTGTAAGACTTTGTTAAGCTTTCTGATGTTTACATTCTCTCAACAAACTTTTTCACACACAGTTTTGTAAATAACTTATGTTTTGCATTCTTTTATAGAAGTAGAGAGAATTGATGGACCCTTGGTCTGTCCAGTGGCATTGGAGAGGTGGCACTGTCACCCTCCAATCCACTGTCACCTTTGGAAAACTATAAATATTAGAGTCAAAAAATAAAGGTGCTTCTTTTTTGTTCCCCTCGAGAGCAGCAGTGTCTGTGTCATCATTTCGTGCCTTATCACAACACTTGAGCACTCTGCCTATAAGCCAAATGTATAATCTGATTTTTATCAATTAACATTTTTCCTTGCTGCATTTTTTTACCAATGTAGATGTAAATTTCATATTGGTACTGCATAAAGAGCTTAAGTTACCTGTGGAAATTGTGATTGTTGCTCACTCTGGCTGATAAAGATACTATCAGAATGAGTTAAAGGATTTCTTGAGTTTGTACTATCATGAAAATATATCATTTTTATGCCTAATTAACAAAAAAAAAATCTCAAACCCAGACAGAAAGCTCACATAAACGTTAATGCCTGTATACATTGTGTCCCTTAGATAATTTAATAGGAACCTTTTATGCAAGCAGTGATAGCAGCCCACATTGTTCACAGAATTGTAGAAAAGCTCTCTGATGGCAAGGGTGTGAAATGGCCATGTAAAACCAGATGCAGATACTGTGCACCTCTATAGTGCAGTAGTCCTATGGAATGTAATTTGATACTCAAATCACAGTTCACCATCAAGAAATACCATGTAATGAGTTTGCATAAACTTCTCATATGTGTTGTTTTCAAAATTTGAAAAAGCATGATAGGCTCTTACCTAGTCTGCAATTCAGTGTCGTGTAGTGAGTATTTCATCTTGGTACAAAGTCTACCCAGAATCTATAGGATTTACCCATAGTGGTAGAGGAGAAGGAGAGCGAGCTTTTTTCAAATTTCATAATCAAATATATTGTAAAATAATTTCATATAAAATAATTCCTTTTAAATCCAGTTGTGCTGCCTTCCTGTCACTGTTCAACTGTACACAGCAACTCTTAGGCTGACAAAATGTTGCAGCCATGCCCTTACGTTGCCAGTGAGATTAAATGGGGGAAGACAGTGGTTTAACAGTGTGTGTGTGCGTTCTGTTACACTAAATGTTAACTGACATAACAGTTCTGAGCAAATTTGGGATTACAGAGAACTCTCACTCCAGCAGAAGTAATTGTAATGCTCTTGGTATGGGAACTGATCGTTCCTACTAAATCCAGATACTGGAAATGGAATTCTCTAGTTGATGTTTATTGATTGATATTGAGTGCTTTGTCTTACAAATAATTAACTAGTTTAAGGATCATGGGCTATTTAGTAATTCAGTATTTCTTGAAACTCAATCCAGTTTATGTGAAACTCAAGCTCAAATCAGAATAAAGGTCAGATGGCTGGGTTTAGGAATATTTCAGGCCCCTTGTTAGTGTGTTGTAACTTTTCAGTATGCTGAACGCTACAAGTTAGATATTTATCATACTTAATTGGATTTTTTTATTCATAAAGGGACATTATTTTGGGAGTATTGAACAGCTGTATTTTTTGCTTGCCTTAAATGGCTATTTGATAATGTTCATTTTTACAAAGCAGTAGAATAGGAGAGAGGTTGCATTTTGGGAAGTGGGATGGGAGGAATTACAGGTGCCTCATTGATTGGTCCAGTTGTAGCTGAAGTTATGAATTGAGATCATTGTACCTTCCCTGTTTTCTGGACCAACTGTTAGCACCCATTTGTAAAAATACTTTTCATAGCAAAGTATATCTTGTGTAATTTACCTTTATTTACAGGCTTTTACCTGATGCATCCATTTTTAGTTTGAGTGATAGGCAAGCAGTTCCTTAGCAAATGTAATCATTGAAATGTAGTAATGAGTCCCTTCTGCCTGCCTTTGCCCAGAGTAATATTTTGGTACATTGATAGC